CCGTTTCAGGTCCCTGTTACTCAGTTCAGAGGCAAGATCATTGACAGATAAGACCGGCCAGATTGTGCATCATCACCAATCTCACTTAAAAGAATCCAGATATTTCCAATTATAACTACAATCCTAAAAAAAATGATATAGAATCATGACCTGCCCAAAAAGAATTCAACACTCTTGATTAAGTATGGAAATCACATAAAAAAGAAACATTTTCGGGACAAATAGGTAATCGTGGGCTCCCAATTTCCCATACATAAATCGTAATTGACACTAATAACGAAAGAAAAGAAAATTTGAGAAAAGGCAAATTTGGGGCTTGGTAAATGACATTATGGTTCATCGTTGCTTAAAATTGTAAATATAAGTGCTTCTGATCGTATCCATCAAATGTATAAACCATCCACACGCTTTTCAGTAAAAGTTATTACTACCGAACTAAAGACATACATTTCCAAAATCAACAAATTCTGAAATTTGTGAAGGTTTTTTTTTTTTTGAGAAATAACTGTAGCAGCCAGCAACAAAGTTACCGGAAAAGTAGCTCTGCAGTCATCAAGGATAGCCTTGAACCGATCCACGAGCACGTGTACCATCTCGAGCCGATTTAAGAGCAAAGCAACAACCAGAAACCTGGCATAGAATCGCAATTCCTTGTAACGCAAGCCCAGCAAGTTCATATCCTTCGGCGACCCTTTCGTTCCCTCGAAATAGCCCCTATTAAGGATCGCTTCGTAAAATACGTAGCATTCGAACAAAAATCTGGCCTGACACGTCCTCATATATTGTCCGAAATAGAGCTGACCGATCCGAGACGCGATTTCTCCTATTTCCCATCTCTGCAGACCGGCCTCTACGAGTTTCTTGCGGTTCTCCTGCTGGAATTTCCAGAGCTTCGTGTAAGCCTTAAATACCTTGTGAAAATAGGCATGTTGCCTACGCCCGTACGGCTGCACGTCCCTGACTCTAGCAAACTTACGGTCCGCACTCTCGACCAGATCCCGGAACGTCTTGGCGACGTCGGTGGAGTCGCCCATGGTGGCACGTTAGTTGCCCAGGTGAGTACCGGCGGTGGTCATGAGCGCAAGAACTGTGTTGCCAGTTGCGACCTCGCAGAGGAATGGAAGAGAAGAGAGTGATGCAGGCGGGGAATCTTTTTTAGAATTGCCTACTGTAGGCTGTAGAGTTGGTTTTCAACAGTGAATTGAATCCTCCCTCTCTATTTCTTCTTTTGGTTTGGTTGTCTTTTATTTGCTTTTTCCTTGTCCTGGATTGACGGTGGCGGCTCAGACTTCAAAAGAACTCTAGATATAATGATTCAATCAGTGACACTTTGCTGCCATTACGCCCAAATGACAGAAATACAGAGAGAAAGGGGAGGCGGTGGGGATAGGGAAGGATGGAGAAACACACACTCTCTGTCTCTCTCTCTCTCAGAGTCTTTTCTGAACTCCTCTGTGGTGGGGTTTTGCGTAATGTGGAATCTGTTAATTATCTTCTCTCCTGATACACTCTGTTAACGGTTGGACGACGGGAGTACGGAATCTTTAAAAATCCGTTTAAATTTTACGGAAAATGTGAGATGACACTTTTACCCCTTGAACACTATCAAGCTTGACAATCAATATAGATATAGAACAATGGAAATGGTATGATGGATCTCCGGCCACGGCTGGCAATCTGGGGARCAAATATGAATTTAAAAGTTTAATCTAAATTTAGTTAAGCAAATTGAAGAAGTTTAATGGGAGAATGACCAATCAGTTCAAATCAGAATTTTAGTCAATTTGTATTAAATTCACGGGCAGGATGTGATTTATAGGGGAGAGGGATTCAGAATTCTGTATTTGTCCGAAGTTTAATTTTGTAAATTTGTCCGAAGTTTAATTTTGCATCATGTGTATCCGTATTTGTCCGAAGTTTAATTTTGTAAATTTTATTTCAAAATTTGAATCGAAAATAGACAACGAAGCAACGGAGCGAGGAATGCTGTGAATCCTGTGATACACCATGTTGACATGACAAGTCTGGAGAAGGGTCCAAGTCCCAAGGCCCCATTTGGATGATTAAGATCTGCTCTATTATCTTCCAGGATAAAAGATGAAAACTAAACAGTCTCGAAAGGATAAGAGTCTTTGTGCAAAATAAGTTAAGCGAGCACACTTTAAAAAGTGATTACCTAGTCACGCAATTAAGCTTTGAAGTATTGAAAAACGGAGAGAGAGAGAGAGAGGAGAGATTCTTGGTTTTATTTTTTTTGTTATATTTTCAAGAAAATGGCGATGAACGTGTGGGTGAGTTGGTTCAAGAAGAAGCGGGTGGTCAAAGAATATCGCGGCAATTTTTAAAATGCAGTTGACTGTTTTCGCGGTGGGAGATGCACCGACAAGTGTGCAGTTGTGCTCTGCTGCACTTGGATCATGGCTTTCACGGGCTCCTAATTCTACTTCTATGCTTATTACCAAATAAATATAATATTTATTGCGTTAATTATCAATCTTAACGCTCTCTCTCTCTCTCACCGAACAGATGTAGCAAGTCGCAACAGGTAAGCCGGCGTCCTGATTGGTACTTTGCTAGTTTGCTGTCGTTCTTTGAGAAGGCCGCGGTCCCCCGTTAGGCCATCAAAATGATTGATTTGTAATTATTAGATTTAATGGCAAATGTCGTGGCGAAAGAGTGGTTTATACTTTATACACAAACTCATTCGATGCGGGTGTTATTGCTTCTTGTTCTTAACGAACTCGCGCGGGAGATCCCAGCTGAAGCTGAGTATATGACACTGGTTTTTCTTGAGCAATGGGTCTTCGCTTCTTCCTTTACAGCTTCAACTTCAAAGTATGGCACAAAGAGAATGGGGACATGGTGAGGAAAAGTAGCTGACTTTTTCAGACTTCTGTTCCTGCCTCCATCGCTTTATAAATCCGTGTCATCAGACTCGGACTGACTCGGATATATGGTAAAACAATTTTGGTTACTGGATCAATGCTCACGTTTCAAATTGAAATATTTTAACTATTATTTAATACTTATACATCGTTCAAATTACAGAAAAAATAGTTGCTTCCCATTCTTTCTAATTTGTCTTGGGATGCATTTGGTTGGGCATAATAAATATGATGGAAAATGAATAATTCTTTCTAAAGAAATATAATCATGGGTGAAAATAATTTCCCCAAACTACAATTTTTTTTTATTTATTTGTATCATTGCAAGTGACTAGTGGGGGAATGTGGTACATACAATGCAAGGAGAGTGCTACTATATCATGGGTGAGGGTTTGGAAAATAAATTTAAAAAATAAATAAAAATTTGTAAGACAGGGTAAAGTGAAGTTTTCTCTAAATCATATGCCCATTTTATCTGGTATTTTGTTTAATTTGAAAAACTACTAAAAGTGTTGGAGGTGAATTGAGAAAACCAGACTCTATTGGAACTCAAAAATTCCACCCATTTTAGTTATATTAATTCAAGCAAAGTACTGCAGGGCTGCACCTGCACAGGCAAGGGAGAAAAATCCATAAAGTGTACATCTTTATTTATCTTTTCAGTCCACCATTAATTGCACATGTCCTCCACTTGTGCAAAACATATAAAAGATGCCATTCATCCAAAATCATGATGCCTGAGGTAGAAAAAATATTAGGGTAAAATATAAAAACCTCCCCTCAATTTTCTCACAATTATAAATAAATCCTTTACTATAATTTTATTTTAACGAAACTTTTGAGAAATTCAATAAAAACCTTATTTTTGTTATTGTTCCAGATGTAAACATTAGATTGATGCATCAATTTTTTCCAAATATTTATTTTATCCTTTTATAAATTATTTTATATACAAAATTACTGAAATAATCTCATTTTAATACAACGAAAAACATATTTCAGTAATTTTGTATGTAAAATTGCTGAAATAATTGTTAAAATAAGTTTTTGTTGAGTTACAATAGGATTAATTCAGTAATTTTGTATGTAAAATCATTTATAAAAGGGTAGAATAGGTATTTAAAAAAATGGTACATCAATCTAACGTTTTTTTGTCTGGAACAGTAATGAAAGAGAGGTTTTTGTTGAGTTTTTCAAAATTTTAGAGAATATATTTATTAAAACAAAAGTATAAGAGAGGTTATTATGATTGTCATAAACTTCAAGGAAGGTTCTTGTATTTTATCCAAAATATTATCAAGCAAGCGAACCAAACTATTTCCGTGAATACACCGAAGAGCTTCTAGCAGTCCTCTTCCCACCTGCTGGATATGTATATGTGAATCCACTTATGGTTCTACTCCCAAAGTCCCAAGAACCGGGTCATTATCATAGCATATCATCATCAGCTCTGTGGTTCCAGTCTTCTAGGCACCTTTAGAAAGTCAAAGAGTTGACTTTCAACTTTCTATTCTTTTGCTAAAAAAATTATTTATATATATATATATATATATATATATATTAACAAGATTGATGTAGGCACTAAGTGTAAATACATTTAGCTCAGCATCGCATTGATTGCAATGGGAACTTTGAATCATAAACACATGAGAATCCTATTTGTGATAAGGACTGTAATGACACAAAACAAATCATTGACACAATTGCGACAAAAGTCGTGCTGGCCGAGCGGTCCGCCAATATTGGACTACCTCCCTAAAGGGTAGGGGAATACTCGAGAAAGCAAATGCAGGTCATTATACCTGTTCACGGACCGGGCTTCTTTCAGGTGGGGCTCATTCAAATTTTGGTAAAAGTTAAGTCCGAATCAGGCCCATGAATAGGTCTACAGGCCACTTGCACTTGCAATGAATTGAATACATCACCCATAATTAATTAGAGTTACAGGAGAGGAGCCTGTTCCCTTGCTATGTGATTTTGCGATGATCCCAATATGACTCACTTTGCTGTGACTGTCGAATCATATAAACAGATTAGCACCTCTAAAGAACTTTGTCCCTATCATGTGACCATAGAAAAACTCACAGCAAACTATAACCAACACATACCATGTGAGAATGTTAAGGCTCAGTTTGGAAACAGTACAAATGCAAATATGTACAACATAAATACATACAAAATAATATAAAATATAAGATTTTACACTCTACATATTTGCATTTATACTTCTTCCAAACTCAACCTATGAAAAAAAAATCCTCATCACAAAAGATTCTCACGGACATATGACAAAGCCCCAAGGAGGTTTTTCCAATAATAGTTAGAGAATCCTGGTCTTCTTCCTTATCGAGGGAAAAGTCTTTATTTAGATGTTTCTCCTTATAAATTCAGTATCTCCTCTATAAAATGAGAGAGGTTAGAGAGCCTGCACACTAAAACCTGTCTCAAGATCCCTAACTTCTCTGCTCCCTTTTTCTACAACAACCTCTCTCTCTCCTTTCTCACACAAGTCCTCTCTTAACCCTACCTTCACAGATCCTTGGTCCTTCGGCCTTCAAGGAGACCATTCCTCCATTGCCTTAACATCCTGCTTACACTAAATAGCAATCATACATTTTCACCGACTTTTTATCTAACTATGAGCCACACCACACAATCTACCTTGGTCATTCCGCCGGCGCCAGTCCCGACAGAATCATATGAGATTAATGGTAAATCTGTAAAAACCGAGAGGCATAGCCCATATGGTCTATAGCTTCTGAAAAATGAAAAGTAATCTCACATCAAGAGTGGTCACTGGCAAAGTGGCTAATGTCTCGTTAAGTTAGCACATGGGACATATTATATTATGTTACACCTTCTCCCTTTTCTTCTTTTTACTAACTTCAATGGAAGTCCTACTCTTTTGCTAATAAGGTGATTACGTAAAAGCTTTTTCTCTTCCTCATCTTGTTGAATACCTCTTGATCGTAACTTCTATATACAGAATCACATATTCACACCTATTAATTATTTATTACATAAAATAGTAAAATAAACATTAAACCATACTTTTTTATTAATTCCACGAGAAGAATCTCCTTTCAATTCTTTTATATACATACAACAACAACAAAAGGCTTTATACAAATCAAGTTGCATTAACAAAACATACAATGATAATACCATTTTTCATAAATAACAAAAGCTTCTCTTTCTTATATTTTCCGTTCTCTTTTTGTTCTTTTTTCTGTTCTTTACCATGTATTATTTTATACTCTAAGAACGAGAAAGAAGCTCATCGATTTTCCTTATTATTATTTTAGATTTAATAGCAGCGTTGTAATGTAATGAGCATTCAATTCAGCCATTTCCCTAACGCCATTATCACTCACCTAAGTTCCTAACTTTTGGGTTAATTTGGTTCACATAAATAGGGAGTTATAGGCCTATATGAAGAAATTTTTGCTCAAATTTCCTTGCTTTCATTCTTATGCATTCTTGCTTGCCAACTTCAAGACCTGTAGACTATCTTCATCCCATCGGCTTATATCAAATGTGGATGGATTTCCTTACATAACCTACTACTAAAATTTTTA